AAAAAAAAAAAAAAAAAAAGAAAAAGGAAATTTATCGATTTTTATGCTTAGTGTAACATCATGACATTGTATAGCGTTTTAAAAATTCATTGTATCTGATCTCCTATCTCCCCTTTCTATGCATCATTTCCTGCAAATGAGGGACACAGAAAAGGTATTTTTATTTACTATTATTAATTTACTAGGGATCATTTTACCCTCCCCTCGTTCTCTATTGTCTTTCTTGGACGAATCATCATTCTCATCACGCTGAAATTAAATAAAATATCGTCAGATACGTGTGTATGTATTTGGCTTAAAAAGATTATTAGTACATTTAGTAAAGTTATTCATGTCCTTGTTATACATTTCTTTTCTTCTTAATACATCTAATATACAAAACTTTATTAAAAATTGTAGTGATGTGAAATGTCCTTCTTATTATGGTCAACAAGCTGTTTAGTGAATTTCAATCAGTGTACCCCCTCCTTTTGAAACAATCTCAACAGGATACAACAGAAAGTGATTACATAATAAAGAAGGAGAGAGAGAGAAAGCGAGGCGAGCCTACAAATGGCCCAAAAGAGAAAAAAAAAAAAAAGGAAAGCGATAAAGGATACATATTTTCTATTATTTGTTTTCCCTTTTTTCAAGTACGTACCATGTTGTTACTCACGCGACTTGTAATTGTACAGAGTCATCATTTGGATGGACAATGATTCATTGTGGCTTTACACCATTATATTCATATGGTGCATTCTTTTCATTCATTGGCTAATTACAATGTGAATAACCTTAAAGAGGCTGTGACCAACTTTAAAGCTTAGTTGGTACTAGAACAACAAACAATAGAATTGAACAAGATTAAAAATCATATTACAATGTATCAAACGATTGAAGGGGAGAGGAGCTATTATCAAGCCCTCATTTTACTAATGTACAACTCAAGATGTAAACGATATCAATCTAGATAACGACCATATTGAGGTCAACACACATAAGCCAAAAAGGGAGTGTGAAATAAATGTACAAGATGTTATGCAAGGCACACAGTCTTTCCATATCAATCTTTCATCTTTGAAAGACTATATTTACTAATTCATTTATATGACTTCATTTGTTTAAACTTGTATGGTTTTATCAAATGGTTTTATGTTATTAAAGTGTTTATTTTTTGTTTAAACAATCATTTTACTTGTTACTGATTCAAGTGATATGGACATTAATATGTAAACTGTTTTTCCCCAGATTAGCAACCCAACAGAACAGGAGGTTAAAGAAAGGAGGGAAGAAAAGAGGTAGGGAGACAGAGACAGAGACAGAGGCAGAGAGAGACAGAGAAAGAAAGTTCCAGAGGGATAGAGTCATTTTGATTTACTCTATTTATTTTCTTCCTTTTCTGTTGTTATTAACTAATCCCATCTCTCCATTGCGTATTCATAAAAATCCTCTTCTAATTCCCCATTCAAAGATGCAGTCTTTACTTTTATAAATTTGTCACAAGGTGTAATTGGCCTTGATGTACAATTGCATTTTAATGCTTGGTAAAGTGGTATAATGTTGTATGTATTTGGTGTATGTGGCCAATCTATTATTGAATTTTAATTTTTATCCTTTTTAATAAAAAAATATAAAATTACCAGTGTAATAATGATGCCCATAGTTTATCACAATAGGTGTAGACAGAGGTATTCCTTTGGCAGTTGCAATAGCCCTTTGCAGTAACTATAATCAATAAGTACAAGTTATTGGTATTATATAAATAAACTTACTCGTCTATGTCCTCTCTTGACATTGAGTGAAATGAGATCAGATTCTGTAATATCAAGCAGCTGTAATTTAAAATCAAAAGAGGGGAGGTTAATATTTTACTGCGTAATGATATGAAGATACTTTACACATAATAGCCTATCAAAGCCTTCGTTGATAAAGGTATCATAGTATTGTGTCAACTTGTAAGCACTTAAAAACATTTCTACTTGTCTTCTATGATCCAAATGTACAATGTCGGAATCTACAGAATAGTCATCGCAATAACAGCAGCTCATGTTTAGAAAATTAAAGGATAACTATTATATTCCTTTTAAAGAAATGCTTGGGAAGAGTAAAGAAAAAAAAAGAATATTTTGTTTTCAGTTTATAAAACAATTAGTTTTAACAATCGAAAAAAGTACAAGTGTTCTTATTGGATTCCTTTCGGATATACTTTTATAAACCAATAAGTCATAACTGTTGATTACTGATAGAACTGAATTGGATATAGAAAAATATTTGATTTCTGTTAAAAAAGCAACCAATGATAAAGTCATCTTTTTTTTTGAATGGAAACCACGGTCTGGGTAGAGCTTACCAAAAATGAAATAGTGTACGGCTAAACAATTCTATTTATAAAATAGAAAGACCATAAGGGGCACGTGATATTTTTATTATATCGTTTTTGCCTTGGCCAGTTCAAGTTGTGAGACAGTATCTAAAAATCCCTCTGGGCTAGAAGGCAAAAATGCTTTGGCTGACAGATTCACGGAACAAGTGTTAAAAAACACTGCTATGAAGAATTAAATAACCATTTAATCAGTTTCTGCCCTGGGTCAGATGGTGATGGTGGCTCTTTTTCATGGTATATGTGATCAAGCTCATATAAGATAGCGCAGATTATGGGCCATCTGATAGTCCAAAACGATCTTGTTTGAATGGAGCGTGATTTTTGAGTGGGAAGCTTATTTAAAAGGAGAAACAGGGGATCAGCTGTAGTCTTGGAATAGTGTGCACTGCTTCCAAAATGCAATGTCGCTGGCCAGTCAAAATTAATTTCGCATGGCTGGTAATGAGTGTCGTATTTTTTAGAAATCTTTGTTTTTGAAAACTTTTGAATACAGTATTTTTATTTGAAGATGGGTATGGAAATGTCGTCGATGAGAATGGTGGCTCTGAGCCAATTGAGTACTTTGTTGATCAGAATGAGTTTATTGTTGAAACAATGGCCACTCACTGATTACTTGGAAAATACAGTTTCCAGCGAATCCTCGGCTTGTCCAATGCGAATATAAAAGCCAAGAGATGAAGACATTCATATGAAGGAGGCAAATGTTAATACCGCAAATGACAGGCGCATGGGCACCTACGTAGATGAGTTCATGCAAGATGACTTTCATTCGTTTAGCAAGTTTGACAAAATCAGTCATATAATTAAGAATTCTCGTGTTCAACTCTCAATTCCATGAATCCGATAGCTGCCGATGATGGTCCTGCCTTGGTATAAACAACCCAGTCAGGTTTATACAATGTAGCGCCGTCGTAATTTCCATTGTCCTCTCTGAAACTGTCCTCTCAGCTTCCAGAATCGAAGTTTTTCTCGGATGTTTGTGCCGGTTTGCTTCGAAGAAGTGTTATATTCAAAGTGTTGTATTCAGCTTTTGTTTGTTATTGAAAAAAGGCTATTAAGACGATGACTTACGAATAAGATTCTTGTTGAAAAAAAGTAAAGAGTATTATTTAAATAAGGCGTGTGTACGTTTTATAGAGAGAGAAAATCTTTGACTGCTGTTTATATTAATGTCGACAGTATGATTATTTATCAATGTTGTCAGCACTCTTGTTCTTTTCACATGCGATAGAGGAATGTAAAGTAGAATATACGCTTTACTGTAAAATTATACTCGAGTTATTATAATGATTCATATCAAACACGTCAGCCGTCATATGATCGTCCAGGCAATCGATCGCTGGTTTTGTAGTGGTTTCTATATTGTGGCTTTCCAGCAAGATCTCCTTGATTCGGCTGAGTCCATCAAATGCGCGAAAATAAAGTTCTTCAAAAGCAGCAGCATTTGTTTTTTTTCTTCATAATTTCTTGGAAATGATACGTTTTGCAATGCGATATAATGTTTGAATGGTTTAGTCATCACGCCCGTCCCATACTGATTAATGTTGATTTTCCTTCTATAAGAAAATGAATAACTGCAACCATGGCTTCCAAAGGTTTGCTTTTTAAATTGTTGGCGATTGTTTGCTTGTTGATCAAAAAACAAGCTTTTGAACACCCAGTGCATGGCAGATTCTTAGCATACGGAAACTCTGAGCATTCATAAGTCAGGTCTGCTAATGCTTGAGAGGCGTTATGGGTAATAATCGCCAAAACAATTGGTAGCGTACTGTAGTACTTGCAGATTGAAAGAGAATACTCCATCAAACGCCAGAAAAAGTTCATGTCAGCTGAATATTGAGCTTCAATAAGAATCGGGGATGGTTTTTGAATTCCTTGCGATTAAAAGGACAATATAGCACATCTGAAGTTAGGTCATTCTGTGGGCCTTGTTAGATACTTGTTGCAAACATTGATGCCTATACGTGCTCAATATAAAAGGACATTAATTAAGCAAAATATCCTTGTGTAGAATAGGTTTACCGATCAAGGTGGAAACAACAATCTTGACAACATCATCGTCGTTCAGAGTCAACTTACTCGTCAAATCGGTCCCCGGAGTGTATTTTGGCGGAAAGGAAAAGGGGAAACACTTCATGCACCAGAAGATACACCAGAAGTTAGACTAATACTACGGACGCTGCCTCTACCTATTACCTAAGATATTGCCCAACAAAACTTTCCAATATGTAGCGACAAGCTAAACACGACTTTATAAAGTTACCGACCTGTTTTGTTTCTTTTCCAGACGGAGAAGGGGTAAAAAGAAATATTGCTATTTCTAATTTTATGTTGTCAGTCTATCAACAAAGAACCAAAGTCAATCACGTGCAATTATGGTATATTCGTATTTTATATCAAAGGATATCCCACTAGGCAGCGTTAGGTTAGGTAGACACTTTGGTAGTGTGAATTTGTACAGTGACGCCACATATAGTGCGTATAAGAAGCGCCCATAGCATTAGCCTATTTTCTGGTGCATGTAGTGTTGGCCAAGGAAAAGAGGAAATCTTCACTATAGTCTTCCATAACAGTAGGAGGTAACAGCAAGAGGTAACAAAATTGCGGCTAACAAAATTTGTTACCTCGGCGTGTTTCTGTTGAGGTAGCAAAATTATGGCTTTGCGCTCAAAATAGATATTGTATTACCTTTGTTTGTTCAAGTCCAAAAAAAGACCTGGCTTTTAGACAAAGTAACCATGGTTACTAGCTTTATCTCTATGCTACCAGTTCAGCGGTTTATCATCATAAATTAATGCTTACTGTGTTCGTTTTGACAGCTCTCTTTTATTATAGTATAATGCCATCGCCTAAAGTTCTCAGTCGTCTGTTTGTGCATTTCACTTTTACTAATGTTACCCTTTATTAGCAAAATGAGACATTAATAGAGCAACGTATTGATACCAATAAACATTGTTTACAACTACTCCAAATACCCCCATTGGGATGGAGTAGTACAAAAGTAGTTACGATTACATAACTATCTCTAAGCTTGGTATGCACTTATAAGAGAAGGGTGAGTTGATAGCAAAAAGGACCAGCTTCTGTTTATATAGAGCTGCTTTATTGATTTTTTTTTGAATTATGTAATAAGTTTTTATTATAATGAAAAGTAAATGGTTGACGCAAGGGCTCAATTCTAATGCCCTTTAATATTGTTGTGTGCTGGCTATGTTACTACGTTGTATTTTTCAATAAGCTACAAGCTGAAACTCAACAAGCATTTGTCGCCTCTCTTCAACAAGCAACGATTACATGTGAATTCAAATGAGACAGGGCTTTATAGAGTAATGCCACTTGCTTACAAAAGTAAGTGACTTTTTGAAGAAGTTATTGAATCCGCAAGTCTTGTCTAGCAAGTTACTGTGCATAAAAAAAGGAGTCAATAAGCAATGCCTTCATATCAACACCAAAAACTGACCAATCACATACTCGTATAATAAGTAGTATTATCTCATCTGGTTCTTAAACTACAATGCTACAATTATCTTAGACCTTTAAGGATCTATGTGTCGATGACAGTTCTTCAAGTGGAAGAGTTGTAAGAGGGAAGCACCTATACCTTTTCCTTTTTCAGTTACTTTCTTATCTTAGAAAAGTAATGTCAGTACAGCTCGTACATAAACGCGACAAGCCATCACAGCCTTCGTTCCTGAAAGCAGCGCAAAATACAAAAGAGTAACAATATTACTTTGTAATCAATTTATGTAAAATGTTTTATTAATAGAATTAGAGAGAATACTAAAAAGGACATGAGAGGCAGGAATAATGATGTTGACATTAAAGATCAACCAGAAACAGGTTATGATTAAAAGCTCTTGGTGCTAATATCTTTAGCTTGATAGTCATCTTTTTCAGCACCAAGCATAAATGAGCTTGAGTTGGGCTGCATCGTGAACATATCCGCGTTGATAATAATGGACTAAAGATAATTACCAAGCAAGTAAAAGTATAAAGAGCAAAGAAATTCGGAGAGAAGAACAACAAAAAAAAAAAAAACTATCTAGTATTATACTGTACACCAGTCATAGAAACTTCCCATGTTGTTATGGAAAGATTGCCTAGTGGCCTCGGCTGCAGTCTTTTGGTAGTACTTGGCCAGATAGAGCTATTACTCAGCTTCTGGGCCAGCAATTAAAAGTATTTCCAGAAGAGGCTCATCCTATTTTTTGCTGTATTCAAGGATCTTAATTCTTTAGGGCGTATCACAAAAGCAAAACATAAGTAATTGGTTGTATTTACAGCATTAGATTTGCTCATCGTACACACTTTAGTATTCTGTAGACAAAGATAATTTCTATTTTTGGCAATCAAGACTTTAGAATTGGCGCGAGGGGGGTGTTGGACTTTCTGATTATTTTTTTAAGAGTGCACTCGTTTCTGCCTCTTTTCTCCATTCTGTTGCGTTATTACTGTTCTCACTTTTTGCAGGAAATTTTAGATACACAGACCATGTCTTGCTATTTTAAGATAGTCATTCTCCTTTATGTAAATACTTATGCTCCCTCTTTCTCATCAATAAACATACAAGAGCCCCATAATCATCATCTCCTATATGTCTTTTTACATTTGTACCCTTAACTCGTGCTTTCATAAAATTGACGTTTAGTCTCAATTTTGCATAAAAAACTGAGTGATTCTAAATTGGTCCCCCTGTGTTGTAAAATCTATATAACTTATGATAATTTACTTTATCATTCGCTTAAAGACGAGCTTATTCACTTAAAATAGAATAAAAAGATTCTAAATCCCTTAATTAATTGTAAAAAGATACACCCAATACTGTCTATAAAATCATCCCTCTCTCTCTCTTTTCTCTTTTCTTTCTCTCTCTCTCTTTATACTTTTTAATATCATGTCTATTCAGACGACACCTTTTCAAGAAGGTAATCATATCATGAAATTTGTCAATCCAGAACGACGGTTCAGCTACACAAGTATGCTATCTGATCCTGATCCATGTTACTTACCAAGTAGCAGTGAAGAAGACACACCACCACCATCTATGGCTTCCTTTATAGACCCTATCTATGTTGACATTCATCAACAAAAGATATCTCAACCATTTATGATTCAACAACAACCACATCGGCCTATTCATTACTATGATTCACATCATAAGAACTTTAGTCAAAATGATAATCACTTGATATTTAATAACCCAATGATGCGTTCAGACACACCGCCTCTGAAACCTCAGCCTCGATCGAGAGGAAGAAGAGTATCAAATGTGCCTGGTGCAGGTACACGCATGTTTACGTGTAAAGCAGATGGATGCGGTAAAGTATTCAAGCGGTCAGAACATCTCAAACGACATATTCGTTCTATACATACTCTAGAGAAACGTAAGTCATTGATCGTAGACACACTCTTTTATGTATTGACCTTTTTTTATCTATAGCCTTTGAATGCCCCTATCAAAACTGTCATAAGCGATTTTCAAGATCTGATAATTTAAACCAACATATAAGAATACACCGACATGGTACGAACAAAGATACAGTAGGAAAAAAGACTATAATAGCAACAAGATGCAAACAAGAGCAGCAATCATACTTTAGTAATAATACTAACAACAACAACAACAGTGCGTATTCAAATCTTATTTAATATATGATCATTATTTATGTGCCCTTAAATAAATTACACTTAGTTTATATGTTTTCTGCTTTTTGTTCTTAAATAAATTTTTATATGTTTGAATATCGTTTTTATTTAAACTTGTGTGTGTATGATGTCGTTAAGTTAATAATGAAAGGGTTCATGCAGGTTTATTGTCTGCTTTCAGGAGATGACTTTTTTTTAACAAAGTTCCCTGTCAATTTGATCTCCCCCCTCCCTCTTTTGAGTTGCCCGTGGATATATTCTGTTAGATTAGGGCGTAGCCTATCCCTATGTTCTCTCCTCTACAAGTTTTTGTAATTTACTGTGTTTGTCATCAGTAAGTGCTGAATTAGATGCTACATGTAGTCTTTTATAATTGATATTTGATTTTATACAATCTAAATAGCTTCAAGAAGCTATGAATATTTGCTCCTTATTTGTTTGTTTATTGTTTTGCTTCTTCTTTAAATGGAGAGTACTATTTATAGCACACCGCTAATTAGAAGGGTCTCTCTCTCCTTCTCTCTTTTTCTTATCGTCAATCTTACTTTATACATACATCCCCCCTTGTTTATCATACTACTCTCATTGTAATGACTTGTGTCGATCAAAGCATGCGATTTATTATTACATTGTTGAATTATTTCTTAAAATATACAAAGATGACCAGTTATATACTTTTTTTTTTTACTTGCGTTTCCAGACCGTGTCACACACTTGAATAACTTCCCACATCGGCCTCACATCATGCACACGAATGATGTTGGCACCACCAGCGACTGAGGCAGCCACGGCAGCTGCTGTACCAAATGTCCTTTGACTTGCTTCCTTCACACCTGTGACCTGTCCAATGAACTTTTTACGACTGATACCCATCAGCAAAGGCAGCCCCCTAAGAAGTGATTCTGGATTTTTAGACATTTCTTCCAAGTGTCTGAGCAATTCAAAGTCCTGACTAGGCGTCTTGGCAAACCCGATACCTGGGTCAATGATGATATTCCAACGATGCACACCTGCAGCCACAGCTCGTTCGACCAAGGCATGAAGAACATGAGCCACTTCATCCAAAACATCGTTGTTCTCATAAGTCGTGTTGGCTTCTGACATCATGGTTTGTGCATCACCGCGCATGTGCATCAAGCAAACGGGGACTTGTGCATCGGCCATGAGTTTGAGCATCTGAGGATCTCTCGAGCCGCCTGAGATATCGTTGATCATGCTGGCGCCTGCCTCCAGAGCAGCTTTGGCCACCGAGGCACGGAAGGTGTCGATGGAGATTGGCAAGTCAAAGCCAGATTGACGCAGGGCCTTGATCAAAGGCACCACACGGCGTATTTCTTCTTCTTCAGGAAATGTATCGTCTGCTCCTGGACGTGTCGACATACCACCGATATCAATCATATCTGCACCTTCTTCCTTCATACGCCATGCTGCAGCTACACCTGCGTCGAGATCGGTGTAACTACCGCCGTCTGAGAAGCTGTCGGGTGTGGCATTAAGAATACCCATGATGTATGTCTTTTCGTCCCATTTCCATAGTTTTTGGTCTTGGATAGGTATCACCTTGTCCAGCTTAGCAGGTCCATCTTTTGTCTCGGCAGACATCTTCAAAAGCTGTGACAGCAGCTGTCCGTTCGTCTTGAATAGTCGTGGATGCTCCATGTCCCTGGCAATATCACATAGTGGCCAAAGAACGAATTCGCGTTCTTGAATAGAGGCATGAGGAATGGTCAGTCGCTCATCGCTCATCACGAGATCATTATAGAATAGGATATCCAAGTCGATCGGCCGAGGGCCATTTCTGAAGGTTGGCTGACGGCCTAGATCTTGTTCAATCCCTTTTAATTTATCAAGCAGAGCATGAGGTTCTAAACAGGTCGCGATCTTGCAGACGGCGTTCAGGAATGCGGGTTGATCCGTATGGTACATGGGCGGTGTTTCATATAGATAGCTTGTATCGAGCACTACACTCTGTCCGTCCTTTTCCAACTGTAGCAAGGCAGTATTTATATTTCCCACACGATCGCCCATATTGGAGCCAAGAGCGATATAGGCAGTCTGGTTGCAATTGACAGGTACTTCCTTTTTGTATCTTAGTCGATCAATATGATGTATAAACTTCCTGCCCGCCTTTTCTTCTTGTTCCAATACTTGCTTCAACCAGACACGATCACGAGTCACCTCAAGGCCCGAGCAATCAGCAAACAGAATCGCGCTCGGCTTCTCCACTCGCACGGTAATCTTGTTGACGTGGCATTTCTCAAGGGCAAGTCGAGCCAAAGTCACGGCCAATGCCTCGATCGTCTTGTAGCCTGAATCTTCGATATGACGCGTGAGAGTACGGACGATGGTACGAAGGTTATATGACTTGTTTTCCTTTTCAAACACCTTATCATAAGGTATAGCAGAAGGATACACTTGCAAATTGACAATTACGACCTGCTTCTCCTCGCGTTCCCAAGGGTTGACACCAACAATCGTGTGCAGACGCAGATCTCGTACAAACATCTCATCCTCTACTCCTAGTCCAGAGACAGCTCCAGTCAAATCGTCCTGTTCAAAGTCTTCGCGTGCTCGTGTGAGCTTTACTCCCGAAGCAGCAGCGTGTAGCAAGGCCTTGGGTTGCTCTACCGTCACTTGTGTTCTTGCAGCACCAAATTGAACACAGCATAGCTTGACAATAGCGTATGCTAGTTCTTCAAGTGACTGGAACGATGTCTTTTCACTCAGTTTGGTAATCGCCTTGGTGACATGGCCGTAATGGATCGTGTTTGTGACATGATCGGTATTTCCCGCGGCAGAAATGTCTGTATATAAGGCAACAGTAATTACTACAGGCTGTTCTTTCAGTCTTTGCCATGCTTCAACTCCAGCAATATTCTTCAACACCAAGTTCTTTACTAGAATTTTATCATACTTCTTCTCGTCGTTTGACATTTTTTTTTTTTTGTAAAGAGAAAAGAAAGATGGAAAAAAAAATAATAGTTGAAAGATGAACTTTGATGGTCCAATAAGATTTAAGATTACTGCAATTTCTGATGTGATTGACAGTAAGACACAGACCTGATCTGAGAGATTATGCAATCGCTCGGCTAGAATTATTATTTTAATAAAGTAAATCTCTTTAGCAGACAAAATAAGTCTGTATTTCAATCTATAAACATGTGAATCTTGTAGGACTTGCTTAATAAGCCATGGATAACTTACATATACTCTGTTTTATAAGTTATTGTTTTTTTTATTATACAGTATTTTATTCTAAAAGTAAACTATGTTTTTTTTTTTTTTTTTACTAATGGTGGAACAAAAGAAGACAGATTCCACTGGATCAAAGCCAGGAGTGTACTGTCAAAAGAAAAAAGAAAGAAAGAAAATACTCATATTGTCTATTTTAGATTGACCCCTCTTTTTTTTTTTTTTTGTTTTGTTTTTTTGGACGAGTCAAAATTAAAATTTAGATTTATTCCCTTAAAATATTGATGGGATGCATGCAGCACATATTGTAGAAAATCCCAACTCGTTTCAAAGCCAAGGACGACAGTGCAAAGACATTAAATAAAAGGTTAAAAGGCTGGCTGTCGTGCCTCAAGATGTAAATAAAGGGACGCATCGATGGCTCGGTCTCTGTCTTAACAAAGCTGTCTTGAGTTTGCAGGCAATGAATAAGATTTGTGGATTTGGTAATGTATCAAGTAATTAAGAATATAAGACTTGGCTTTCCACAAAAAAAGGGACTTGCTCATCCTTGAGCTAGATTTATTAAAGCAAATTTTTATTGGATCTAACAACATTACTGTTGCGTTTATCTTTGAAAACGTTGTCGATCACTTTCTTTACTCTTCCTTATACGTCTATATCTATATCTTAATCAAAAGTGAATCCTTTGAAAATAATAACCATCAAGAGCTCTATATCTGGGCTTGGGCGGAAACCTGAATATATATCAAGGCTTAAATAACTTGTTTTCACCATGAATACGCTTGTCACTCATACTTTCGCACTAACAAAGTTCATTTTCATCAATGAATTAGAGAAAAGCGAATCTTTTGACCTTCAAAAATATGCTCAGAAAGAGTTTTACATGCAAATATATATGGCACTCGTACAGAAAAAGGTTCCTGCAAAAACGTCTAAATCAATAAAATTCAGAGGCTTAATTGAGAGTTATATGGAAGAATATTGCCAGTTAAGCGGTTATGTACCTGTAGAACTCAAATGCTCACATTAGATTGCAGCACATGAATGCACCAAGATCGATACCGTGTATAGAAATGCTATCGTATTACAACTCGGCAATAGATTTCGCATGTTTATAAATCAATTGACGCATCAAAAAGATAGGAACAAAAAGAGAAAACAAGAATTGCAAAAGGAAAAAAAGACCAAAGAAGAGATAGGCAGCATTGTTTATAGTGAAATCACACAACCATGTAAGCAGCTGAAACTTTCGCTTACCTCTGGTAACACTCAAAGCTTGTCGACAACAGGTCTTTTAAATAAAGAAGAATCTCTCGCATACAAGAATTCTTTGTTACTTACAACTCTCATTGTAAATTCAAGAAAGGAAGCATATGTTACGATTGCAAAGCAGAGCCTCTCAATCACTTGAAGGCGTATTACAAGTTGTGTGAATTGCGCGAGTGGTCTGGATCCAAGTCATTCAGTGCTTTCCGCTCAGAAAATCCTACATATCCTGCTATATGACAATCGATGCTATGATATTGAACAATCAAATTTTACAAACAATCAAGCATCAAAGCTAGACAAAAAGCTTATCTGGAGCAAAGTGGTCAATATTTCTGCAAAGCTTTAAAGGATCAAGGCTACTCACAAACAATAGAGTTTTACGGTATGATTCAAACTGACGGTGTGAGCATCTCAGTTATCAAATATAACCAAGAACCTGCTAAAAGTGGTCCGTGGAGCACTGATACGATCTCTACTACAAATAACGATAAGAACTTTACATATATACAAATTGACAACGGAAAAACTCCAAAATACCACTGGCAAGTGCATGTTTATAGATCCTGTGCGCAGAGATATGCTGTACTGTATGCGTGAAATATTCAACAAAGCTAAAAATGAGGATTATCTTTATCGGTATACAAGTAATCAAAGAGCCAAGAATACCAAGGCAAGAAGGTTCAAGAAGTTGCGACAAGATACAAAGCTTGAATCAGTCAAAGAGTGTGAGATATATCTCTCCAAGTATCCAGCTTCTACAGTCGATGCTGCCAAGTTCTCCGAGTACTTGAAAGCAAGATCTGAAGTGTATGAGGCATTGTCCTCTTATTACTTAAATGAAGCAAAGCACAGCATAACCACACCATTCTTCCTTTTCGAAAAATGAAACTCTCTTCGGTCATCAACAAGAAGCAGTCAGATACTCGACTTGCAAAAACGCTGCAAGAGAAATTTGGAAAGGACTCTGTCCTTGTTATGGGTAGCTGGTCTGCTGCCAATACCAAGTTTCACGAGCCGATCAGAGGCAAAGGCATACGAAGGATGCTCAAGAAGCATAGGTTTCTTGTGTATTTGATCGATGAACATAAAACGTCATCACTTTGTCCGAAATGCAAATATGGAAAGTTGGAGACGTCTCTGAAGGTCTCCAACTCACGACCAATTAGGCGAGCGGAAAGACCAGTAGTCGAGTGCCATAGGCTCTTAAGGTAATAAAGCCTCAACTTTTGAAAAATAGACAACATTTCATAAACCTCTTTTATTAGATGTACAAATCAAAAGTGCTTAGAACTCTCTAGGCTATAGAATAGAGACTTGGCAGCAGCACTGTATTTTGAGGAAATTATGATCAGTCATAGGCAAGCATTTGGCCGTCCTTTAAGATTCAAAAGACAAACCTTAAAGCGCTCTTCTTCCACAAGCAACAGCAATTCACAGCACAAACACTTCCGCTCTACACCTCCCGATGACGGTCACACTTCTTCCTGAGGGATGGATTAAAGTTAGAGTAAACCATGATGCAGGTAAGTTATTTTTGACTTTTCTCCTTCGTCTAAAAACTAGTTAATCTTTTATCTAAAATTCCTTTTTTGTTTGTCCAAAAAAGGTAAACAGAATGTCTAGATTTTAATTTTGATTCGTCCAAAAAACTAACATTGTCTGAATTTAAAGTGTGAAAACTGCAAAATCCATCATATTTTTCATCTACTGCTACGACCGTCTTTTTTGTTACATTAATAATCATGGCATTTTCTTCAGCCATTGTGTTGACTGATTTAAATGACTATATTGCACCTTCTCAAGCATGTATAAAGCCAGTTGAAATTCAAAAAGCTGATAAAGATGCCCAAGGACCTACCGAGATCAAAGTAGATAAAGAAGGAACCTACTACGAGATTAGTCAAGACGACGGACAAGAAAAGAAGCTCGAAAAGGCTTCTATCACTTTAAACGATTGCCTTGCCTGCAGTGGATGCGTTACTTCAGCAGAGAGTGTTTTAATATCGATGCAGTCATTAGAAGAGTTTACCAAAGTGCTCGAACAGAATAAATATCAGAGAATTGTCATTTCTATCAGCCCTCAGTCAAGAGCATCCTTAGCAGCTAAATATCAACTGACGCCTATCCAAGTACAATATAGGCTGGTTCATTTCTTCAAAAACATACTGGGTGTTCATCATGTGTTTGATATCGCATTTACTCAGGATCTATCATTAGTTGAGGCAGCACGTGAGTTTGTAGATCGTTTTAGAGAGTACATGGCCAATGGAGGAGAGACTGCAGAGAAAGCGATTTATGAACAACAGAAGCAAGAAGAGTTGGAAGGAGGAAGACCTGCTCGAGTGAGAGGCGCAAGAGGACAATCAAGAAAGACAGGGGAAAGCAGCAGCATGCCTATGCTTGCCTCATCTTGTCCTGGTTGGGTGTGTTATGCTGAAAAGACGCATGGCGATGTCCTGCCTCATATCTCAACCGCTAAATCGCCTCAGCAAATGATGGGATCACTTGTCAAAAATTACTTTGCACAAAAGTTAGGTCAAGCACCAAGTCAGATATACCATGTGTCGGTTATGCCCTGCTATGATAAAAAGTTAGAAGCAAGTCGTCCTGATTTTGAAGTCGATGGAATAAGAGACGTAGACTGTGTCTTGACTACTTCAGAAATTGACCAAATGCTACAGTCTCACCATTTCCTTGAAATGCCTGAAGCGCCAATTGATGATATGTTTAATAAGGTCGGTATTGACCCTCAGACAGGACAGCAAACACTCTTGGGCGTACCTGGTTCTTCATCGGGTGGTAGCTTAGAATATGTCTTGGCCGCGGCTGCTCGTGAACTCTTTGGGCTGCCTACTATCGAAGGACGAGTGACGGTCAAGGCGGGCAAGAATGCAGATATATGTGAATATAGTTTGATGAGCGACGATGGACGACCCGTGTTACGATTTGCGAGTGCTTATGGATTTAGAAATATACAAAATTTGGTACGCAAGATTAAACAGGGAAAGTGCACATATCATTATGTTGAAGTAATGGCATGTCCTGGCGGCTGTGCTAATGGCGGCGGACAGATTGTACCTGTAGATGTCAATCCAAAGGAATGGCTGAATCAAGTAGAAAATATCTATAGATCTGTAACAGGAGTGTGGCCAGAGGAAAATGAAACGATCAAGGGAATTTACAAGTAAGTTTATATAAAGCAAACAAAACAAAAGCTAACATATCTTTAGTGAATGGATAGGTGCTGACGACACAAAACGAAAGACTATACTTCATACACAATATCATGCTGTTACTCAAAGCTTCCAAAACCCATTGGCTACCAAGTGGTAGTATTATATTTATACATGTATATGTAAATAAAGGTTATGTACATTATATTATTATTCTAAATTAGCCGTCATACGTCCAAACATGGCTCGAATATCTTCTATACTCATAGTTCCCAATACATCACCTTTTCTTGTTCTCACATTAACCGTACCTTGATCCATTTCCTTTTGACCAACGACAAAGATAAAGTTATACTGCTGTAACTGAGCCTGTCGAATCATCTTATTCAAGCGATCACGAGGCGAATTATCTGTATCTACATAGTACTGAGGTTCTGTATGATCTTTTCCTAGAGAAAGGGAGCGAGCAACCTGCTGGGCATAATCAGCAAACTGAGTTGAAACGGGAATGACAATGCCTTGACGAGGGCTTAACCAGAATGGCCATTTACCCTTGGTATGTTCAATCAGGATGGCCAACATACGTTCAATCGAACCCAGGATGGCGCGATGAACAATGACTGGTCGTTGAGCGTGATCTTGTTCGTCAACATAGCTGAGCTGGAACCGCTGAGGCAGTTGGAAATCGAGCTGAATGGTAGCTGTTTGATGTGATTTGCCACTTGAGTCCTTAACCATGATGTCAATCTTTGGTCCGTAAAAGGCACCATCTCCCTCCTTGATCGTCCATGGACGTCCGGTAGCGTTCAATGCTTGTTTGAGGGCATCTTCAGCTTGATCCCATTCTTCGAGGCTGCCGATATAATTCTCTTCAGGTCGTGTTGAGAGAGTGAGGTCGTAGTGTGGGAACTGGAATGCCTTGTAGACACGGTCAACAAAGGACAGACAAGAGGTGATTTCGGGCGTAATCTGTTGTTTGGTACAAAAGATGTGAGCGTCATCTTGATGGAATCGACGCACACGAGTTAATCCAGATAATGCACCTGAGGCTTCGTTTCTACGTTTTTATTATTAATATGTAGATCGTTGTTATTTGCTTTGTACCTGTGAAGTGGACTAAAGTCAGCCAGTCGGATAGGTAGATCGCGATATGACTTGGGGGTGCTATCAAATATCAAACAGTGCCCAGGACAATTCATTGGTTTCAGACCAAATAATCCTTCATCGTCCCCTGTACCGCTGACCATATACATGTCATCCTTGTAGTTTTGCCAATGCCCGCTTGTCTCCCAAAGATCCTTCTTGTAAATGAGTGGTGTCATGACTTCTTCGTATCCGTATCTTGCATATTCTGAACGTAAAAAGTCCTGTAGTTTGTGAACGATGCGAGTACCATGAGGTAACATAAAGATAGATCCTGGACTGACAGGGTGAATCATGAATAAGGATTGAGATTTGCCAATGGTTCGATGATCATTTACTGTCTCAGTCACTAAATCAATGTTAGAAAGAGGACAAAATAAAAGAAGGAACAGGGCTTGCCTTGTTGATTCAATCGAACGGGTGTATTGTAAATGGCTCTTTTAGGCTGAATTGAACACAAAATAGGTCGTATGTGGCGTCTCACTGATCTAATAAACATGTTGCCAAAATTGAAGAAGGGGAAAAAAAAGGGCACCCTTGCCGTTTAAGCTGCCATTTATTTTTTTACAGTAATAAATAAAATACGAAATGTGATCATCCAATAAAAGAGTTATGGGATATAAGAAAAAGAGAGATAGCATCACAGATCAAATAGATCATACACATGACTTTATATGTATACTACAGCATAACGTGTTTAAACTATTACTGTTATTATACACCTTTTTCAAGGGATTTGCTTTTCTTGCATAAATCTCGGGATAATTTCATCCATGCTGTCAGAGGAGGAGAAGCATAAAAAGTTTTGATTAAACATCTGTTTGTAAGCTTATTAGCCATAGTTTCTAATAGTTGGACTCGTACATAATTTTTTCTTCTCTTTTTGATTTTCTTATGTAGCCTATTAATTCGAGACCTTCTTCAAGATTTTTTACAAATAATTTGTAGTTTGAAGGGTAGTCTGTTATTGCTGAAACAGTCTTACCTATGAAGAAAAATAATTAAATTTAAAAGGTGCTCTTGTAAAGCTGGTAGCTAAACATTACCAAAGTACTTTTGCTTCATAACGTACAACGGTCGAATTCGGTTCACTACAGTGCTATTTTCACTTTTTTCTTACTTCATCTGCTTTGAAAAAATGTAGTTTTTTCGGCCACACCAAGCTGTGAAGCTTTTGAGATTCTTGTCATCAAAATAATCGGTATAAAGAGATACAATACGAAATATATCTTTTGTGGTTAAGTGTGTGAGATTATAGACCGCATTATTATGAAGGTTGAAGGGAAACATTACATGCACCAGAAAATGCACCAGAAGTTAGACTAAACCTACGTATGCTGCCTCTGCCCACTACCTGTGATATCGTCCAACAAATCTTTTGACAACGAGAATTGGTCAAGCATGTAACATTTACATTAGCAATTTATAAGGTTTCTGCTGATATTCCGAGTCCAAATTTCAAGATTATTTGGATGAAAAGCCATTGTAGCTCCTCTGTACGAAATAAAGTGTACAGTATTTTTGTCCCATTACCATACGGTTTTTTCTCTCTCAAATGCACGAAGCGAGAGAGACATGGAAGCTTGATACAAATTATTAAATCTCCGTTTATGCCGCCAGAATTTACTCAAACATTTTTCTTTTTCTTTCTCTTTTTTTTTTTTCTTACTTTTCCCAATGACTTCACTTTATAGTAAACGTCTTACCAAGGAACTTCGAGGTACAATACAGCTTATAAAAAGAATCGAGAAAAGAGAAGAATCAAACTGAACTGGAGTAGATTTACAAAAGAACCCACCAGAAGGTGTTGAAGTAGAAGAAGCAAGCAACTTTTTAAAGTAAAACAAAACATGACTGTGTGAATATATGAGTTTATCTTGAATATATGCTAGATGGACACTTTGTCTGACAGGAGCGCGAGGATCTGTATATGAGGTATGAGTTTATCATTATAAACAGGTGAATATAATACGCATATATCACATAGGGAGAAAAATTCAAACTTGAAGTAAGTGTCAAGTTGTGTAGTCAGGACATCACCCGATGATAATCGTAGTCTTAGTTTCGATTCACACCTCAATATCCACTAGAGGCACCTGAAGTTGTCTTTATCCGGCCTTATGTGCCTATTCATCCACAGTAAGTGGTTCAGTTTTATTTGCTAAAGTATGTCCAACTGACCTAATTGAATTACGTCTAGTGTAAATAGATGTATATTGAATATAAACACTACTACAGATGAGACTGAATATATACATGCTTTAGATTTATAGCAATGGACACATTTGTTTAAATATATTATATAAAGATTGGTCACCGGTACAAACGGTGGCACATGTTTGCTTGTCGATCATCTCCATGATGTCAAGCTGTACAAAGAAGGTAAATTGGATATGCAGAAAGAACAAAAAAAAAGAGAGAGACAGGGTAGATAATGATCCCAAACAGGAGCTTCCACCTGATAATGATTTGTATGTAAAAAATGCAAGCGCGTCACCGAAGAAGACAGCTTGGGCGTTCCAGGTAAGTGTAGGTAGCTTTTTGTATCAGGATTACTGAACATGCTCTTTCTTTATATATGTAGTAAGAGATATATCAACATATTAAAAAACTTACTAACATATTTATATCATAAAGCGATGATAGTGTTTAATGGATTAAAGTTTATTTAGAGATTGTGTATAAATGGGCTTATAAATAAAATAAAATACATACAAACTATACGACCCAGGCCAATGCTTTTCTATACCAAGGCAATACTTCATCTTCTTCCTTGTCTTTTTCTATATCCAGACGAGTGACACGTCCGGTTTCAAAGTCAACATCTACTAAAGGCACAACCTTGCTTCGCTTGATGATCTTGTAACCAAGATACCAAACAGTTACAGGGACAAGCCCGATGTAGCTAGTGACAAATTTAACAGCATCAAATTGAGGAGTGAATGAGGAGTAACCTATAATGCAAAAGAATATAAACATCTATGTTTTTTTTTGTGATATTTTCTTTTTACCTTGTCCAAGGATAATAAAAGTGGTCAAGACAATAGCAACGATGGCAGACCATGGGTAAGCAAATGCCCGATAAGGCAAATCAGATAACTCTCTTCCTTGAGCTTTGAATGCACGTCTGAATCGAATGTGAACCACAGCGATACCCCACCAACTGATAAAACCACTGACGGCGGTAATACTCAGGAACCAAACGAATGCTACAGAGGCACTGTAGATCGAGGCAAATACACAAAGAAAACCGACGATGGAAGAAACGAGTACGGCAATGTAAGGAGAGCCCCAACGATTCATTCGACCTAACCATTTAGGTGCTAAGCCATCCTTGGCGAGACCAAGCAATGTACGAGAGCAGGTATAAAGTGATGAGTTAGCAGCACTCAACACACTGATCAAGATGACAACGTTAATGATGTGTGCGCCTACTTCAATACCGGCCAAAGTAAAAACAATAGTAAAAGAGGCGGTTCCTGGATCACCATCAGCATTGGCCAAATTAGGGTTTGTGTAAGGGATACACATGCCTAACAAGAAGATGGTAATGATATAAAAGAAGACAATACGCCAGAATGTGTTTTTAATGGCGCGAGGTACCGTCTTGGTAGGATTCTTGGCTTCACCAGCTGTAATACCAACAATCTCTGTACCCATAAAGGAGAAACCGGCCGAGAGCAAGACGTTGAGTGTACCAAGTCCTCCACCCGTGAATGGGCCAGGATCCTTCCAGTATTGAAAACCAATGACGTGGCCTCCTAATCCTCCCGTAGTTACGCATATGCCAATGATAATAAAGACAATAACAATGAGGATCTTGAGAATAGCAAACCAGTATTCGAGTTCACCATATAATCGGACACCAAACAAGTTGATGGACAGAATGAGCAGAACAAAGATAGTCGACCAGGCGGGATCAGGAAGGACAGGTTTCCACCAGTTGATGATCGTAGCAGCAGCAGAGATTTCTGCAGCAATGGTAACAGCCTATAGAAATGTTAGCTGAGAAAGAAAAAACGCTGTCAGGATAACTTACCCACTGTGAGAAAAAAAAGGGAAAGGGTGG